GGAATCAATTCCTCGACTTGGCAGACCTTCCCGAGGTTCCGATGGACGACGTCGACTCCATCATCATCACGGGTGAAAGTGACTGGACCATCTATTCGTGAGTCCCCGTTTCCGTCGATTGCTCTCGCATGTCCGGTGTGGAATCGCCGTGGAAATGCGTGTCTGCCAGGCTTCCAAACTTCATCGGGATACAGCGATGCCTAGAGACCTGGCCTGGAATGCTCGTGGGCTTTTTCCCGAACCTCTCCGATCTCGAGATGAACTCGGTCAGGTCCTTCCGGGAAGGTTGCTTCGACGACGAGAAGATCCAGCATCGCTCGGACCGACACGGCGAGGTCGTCATGGAAAAGGAGTGATGTGTCTTTGCACGATTCTTCCCGTAGAAATAAACGACATCGAGTCTACAGTACATACGAGCCTAAGAGTAGAGAAATGTCTTGGCAGCGTGCCCACTCAGCGAGGAAGGAATAGTGGGACTCCGGCTGCAACTCTCACGTAGATGATGTCAGGCCACCAGAGTTGTACTACTTGGATAGGTGAATTTCGTTCCAAGTTTTCGTTTCATCGAGTTTGGACCATGGTGAGGGTACAAAACGGTACGGCTGGGAGAAAAAAAAAAAACGTCCATTTCGTCTCGACGGTCGAAATAAATGTATTCATTCTGTATAAATTATCTGAAACCGATCAGCAAAAAAGCCAGAAAGAGCATAGAAAGTATGCCTTCAGGTCCACTTTAAACCGCTTATTTGGAGATGAATTTTTTCGGCGGGCACATTCGAGAAATTCATTTTTACCTCAATCGGTTTCCTGCGTAGGGTCCAAGTCAACGGAACATAAAAATCCCATTGGGGCGCAATAATTTTAGTCCCCAACAATATGAATGAGAAGGTATCTTGTGTTTCTCCTAAAACGTCGGTCTGAATATTTTGCGATCACCTTAAATGCACAATCGTGAAGAAGTTAAAATCACGTGTCTGATGAGAGAGTTGAAAAACCCCAAGTCATAACGATATTGGCGCCTCCACTCGCATTAATCAATTAAAAAGCAATCAGAACTTCCTTGCTTTTAATAACCCACCAGCTGTGACAACTTGAACATCTTTTGAGCGTTAATAATGCATGTCCTGACAGAACCAACTATGAACCTAAATTTGATGGAAACTATAAGAATTGTAGGATTACAGAAAAGAAACGGCAATTTCATGCCTTATTTTTCTTCAAACGATTGAATATCGAGTGTGCACTATTGAAGCGCATTATATCCTCTAAGATCTCAACAAGATTCTCATCCCATTTTTTAAATTGTAGTTAGGACTTGTCTCACAGTTTTCCCCAAATGCTAGAGCCCCATTTCACATCCTGATGGAAATTTGTGAAAACTTTAAACGTCCGATCCGCCAAACTCTGCAGTCGTTCCTCACGTCCCTGCGCCCGACAGTCAAAAGTGCGTCCCTTTATCGAAACGAAAGGACGCTCTTCGACGTTCTAACGGACGGGGTGAGGAATGTCTATAGACAGACAAGAAGAGGCCGTGAAAATAATTCTTCTGAGGATTCCACCAAATCTCAATATGCATTCGGGATAAGATATCTCTTTAGCAGGCCGGAATAGAAGCAGAAGAGTCCCTTCAGCCGGTTTCTCTAATTTCTTAAACTGAAATTAACGTCATGCGATAAAAAGCATAGTTCGGGACCTTTAGTATTCCTTCTTGCCATAGATTTCTCGCTCATGTATTACGCAGAAAGAAAATAAAAAGACGATAATATGTGACTGTGGGGAAAACTCCAACTCCAACCCGAACCATGAAAATATAATATACACGTTTTTGTCATTGCTTCTAGTATGGAAATGAAAATAAATCCACTTAAATGAAACACGTGGTCAGAGGAAGCCTGTCTCGACTTTTGGGGAGCGGAAAACGAATCTCGACAAAAGTACGTACGGTTTTGGCACGGGTTCGTTAAGTTTTAAAAGTCATCATTCATCGAGAAATCGCAGAGACGTATATGAGGACACAGTGCATTATCCTAGCCTGGCTTATAGTTGCGAGAAGCTCACATAGTTTTCTCGATCCCGTACGTCGAACGTGGAGTCTCAATGGTGAATTTGTAGCGGATCATGAAAATACTAGGTTGTCCCAAAAATTCTGGGGCAGCTGCGGAAAAATTAATTTTTATGCGCGAATTCAAATAAAAAACAACAACTACTATTCTTCAAAATAAAGGCCGTCGTTCTCAACGATCTTCTGCCATCGATCTGCATTCGGGATAAGATATCTCTTTAGCAGGCCGGAATAGAAGCAGAAG